CATAGTGGCAAACCAGAGCTTTTTTAGAATCAGTTCATTTTTAATTTCCTCATTTACTCAAGATTTAAACCAATTTCTTAAGTATGATAATGCTGGTATCCAGGATACTTTACTGGTCTACTTATAGGACTCAGAAATGAACTTGAGGGAGTCTGGGAGAGTCTAAAAAACTCTCTGCTTTGCCACTATGCGGCGTGGAATCGATGACCATGATTTGCACAAACGCCTGCGCGAAAAAAATAAAATTAGATTGATTTACGTGAGAAATTTCCCCGTTTATATACATCTTCCTGAGTGTGGCCTGACCATGGACCTGGGGACACAGACACTAACCACTACCTGGGGACACTAAGTCACTAACCACTACCTGGGGACAATAACCACTCACCTGGGGACACTAACCACTCACGTCTCACCTGGGCCCTGGGGACACCAACCACTCACCTGGGGACACTAACCACTACCTGGGGACACTAACCACTCACCTGGGGCCCTGGGGCATAGTGGCAAAGCAGAGAGTTTTTTAGACTCTCCCTCAAGTTCATTTTTGAGTCTTATAAGTATTAAGTAGACCAGTAAAGTATCCTGGATACCAGCATTATCATACTTAAGAAATTGGTTTAAATCTTGAGTAAATGAGGAAATTAAAAATGAACTGATTCTAAAAAAGCTCTGGTTTGCCACTATGATCCTGGATACCAGCATTATCATACTTAATAAATTGGTTTAAATCTTGAGTAAATGAGGAAATTAAAAATGAACTGATTCTAAAAAAGCTCTGGTTTGCCACTATGCCCTGGGGGCACTAACCACGAACCCGGGGGGCGGGGGTACTAACCACACATGGAGGCATCTTAAAATTTTTGTAACGAAATTTGGCAACTTCAGAGGAGCACAAAAATAACGAATTTGGCAACTTCAGGAGAGCAGAACTTCAGGAGTTAAACTTCACTTTAGCTGGTCGTACCATAGTCCATAGGCATAGCATCCGCCGGCTCAACGCCTCGGAGCGGGACAGTACTGCATTTTCAAAGTTCGAGAAAGATAGTTCTAGAAAGGATGACGTAGCAGCCGTCTACTGTCACCGTGTCACG